GTGGTGTATTCATATATCAAAAGCCAAACTCACTGCCATCGAGTCAATTCCAACTCACAGTGACCCCCACTGGGTCTCCAAGGCTGGGACTCTTTACAGAAGCAGACTGCCTCATCTTTCTTCCATGGAGTGGCTGTTGAGTTTGAACTGCCAAACTTTTGGTTAGCAGCTGAGTGCTTTAACCACTGCACTAGCAGATCTCCTATCATAATATTAGAATTAGAATATATTATCATAATAATAGAACCACGCTCACTGCCATCAAGTCAATTTGGACTGACAGTGACCCCACATTACAGGGTAGGACTGCCCCACAGGTTTTCTAGGCCGTGATCTAGGGGGGAGCAGGTCACCAGATCTTCCTGCCACAGAGCTTCTGGCTGGGTTCAAGCCTCCAAACTTTCAGTTAAAAAACAAACCCACTGCCATTGAGTCAGTTCCAACTCGTAGTGACCCCCTTGGGTTTCCCAAGCTGTAAATCTTTACAGAAGTAGATTGCCCCCTCTTCCTCCAGCAGAGCAGCTGGTGGGTTTGAACCTCCAACCTGCTGGTTAGCAGTCAGATGCCTTCCCCCTACACCATCAGAGCTCCTTAACCTTTCAGTTCAGAGCCAGGTATTTAACGACTGTGCCACAGGGCTCCTTCCTGCAAAGATTGGAAAAAACAAAAGGAAACAACCGAAGCTCATTGTGATTGAGTTGATTCTGACCCACAGCCCCCATTGGGTTTCCAAGGCTGCACACCTTTACGGAAGCAGACTGCCCCGTCTTTCTTCCCCGGAGCCGCTGGTGGGTTTGACCCACCGACCTTTTGGTTAGGCGCCGAATGTCTTAACCGCTCCATCACCCAGAGTCTTCCTGTAAAGATTACAGTCTGGGAAGCCCCATGGGGCGGTTCGCCTGTCATGTGGGGTCTCTCGGTGGCACCGAGCACCAGCAGTCTCCAGAGGAACAAACACATCAGGTAGGTCTTCCTCAGGTCCAAGCCCCAGCCATTAGCTTCACAGCCATGCGCCTAAGCACGGCCCCACCCGGGCTCCTGGGACGTTCATCCAGAAACATCACAGCCA